TTAGTGTTACAGATATATATTCATATTGAAATGTTAAGTTTCCAAGAATTTTTGAAGATAATAAAAATCATTTATAAAATTGTTTAAATCCCGACAAAAAACGTAATGACTATACAGCATTTTCAAATTTCCAAATATGTTTACTCGAATTTCACTAAAAATCTTATTTTTTATTTTTAGTCATAAAAAAAATTTTAAATTAAAATGCCCGGCTCTATTTATTACCTATTAAGAGAAAAAAACTTTAAATATAGACCAATCATTGTTATTGCAAGATTGTTATGGCATTTGTCAGATATCTCGGTGAAATACCCGGTCTACGTATAAAGAATTAAAAATTATTTTACTTTCATAATTGTATAAATTAAAAATTGATGTTTTTTTCAGACTGGTTACTGTTTTTCATAATGAAGTAAAATTTTCTAATTACATATCTCCATTATTGGCAAAATCCTAAATACGCTACTGAATATATAGATTATATATTATTTCGTTATGTAGTATATACTATTATAAATTAAGTTTGAAGTGGATCGTAAAAATTTATATTTTCCAATGATAATATAATATCGCTTCTTTAAATATAGCTCATGGCAAGTAATACGATTATTTTATTTTGCGACTACGTCAATCAACTTTTAAAAGTTAGGTGTAGCATATTTTTGTCCTAAATAAAAAAAATATTAGCATAGTCCCCGAAGACCTTTTGAAATTCAATTTATATTATACGAAAAAAAAACATTTCCTCTTTCGGCGTATACCTACCTACGTAATTAAATTATAAACATTTCATCATCTGAAAATTATTGGTTACAGTATTCTAAAGATGATAGGCACCTCTATAACATTATTATAATTAGTTGATCGATAATAAATTATTAATGTACGATGATGAAAAAAAAATGTATTTTTTCCGCAGCAGGTTTTTCATTTATACAAAAAGTCAAGTATCACGTGTTAGGTACGTGGTTTATATACCTACTATTCCTATATATTATATATATATGTATACCTATACCTAAAATATCACTATATTCTTTATTCACGAATAAAAACTGTATTAAAAAATATTAAATTATTTCGATGGAAAATATTGTATCTATTATAAAAAAAGCCAGACATTTCTAACATTTTTTATACAGAGCTGAAAATGAGTGATATTGAAAGTTTAACTTCCAGATATTTTATTAATAACAAAACATATTCATATTTGAGTTTCAATATTTAAAAACTAAAAAACATTTTATTACCATTTAATGTACGCAATTTACATGCATACAAATAATACCCGGAATGTAATTATGTTAAAAAGGTATTTCGGGACGAATTTCATAGTCAGTCCCAAAATATGTCTCAGAATAGTCCCAAAAATATGTAAAAATATTTACGCCCTATTGTTTCAGTCAGAAATAATAATAATTAATAACGATCTTTCATAGTCTCATCATCAATTTGTTTAGCTTTGGCCTCTCAAACCGTGTGTGCAATTTAAACAGAATACTAAATAGTGATATTGAATAAATTTTTTCTGGTTTTTCACGTTTTCTAGGAAAACTATTGAAAAAAATCAAAAAAATTACCTCCTCAAATTGTCATGGAGATAAAATTTCCATTCAGGAAAATTAGCTGCACTTGATACATTGGAACAAGATTTTTGGTAAAAAAGATTGCACAACAAATTGAGTGTTATTTTACAATTTAAAATAGTCCGGGCGAACGATGACCTGGGTCTATAGGTACATCCAAAATGCAATTGTTTTTTCTTTTTAGGTAAAAAGGAAAAAAAAATGTAAACAATTTCGTTTGAGACCCGGGGTCCAGCTGGGACCCCTATAATGATAATAGGCATGTTTAACCATTAGCTTACAACAAACATACTATAATGATGAAAATGTTTAGTTATTTAACATAACATATAATATCTGCATAATATAAGAACTTCAAAAAGCTATAATTTCGAATATTAGAAAGTCCGCTCAATTCTGACTTCACCATCGTTCTACATCGGCAATATACATGTGTTCAAAAAAAAAAAAAAAAATTGAAAAATTAAATTTTTTCCATATAATTTTTTACTCAATGATTTTCTTGAATGTTTGATATTAAAATTTCTTTATAAAAAAAAAAAAAACTACATTAAACTCAAATTTTCTTTTTTGACTACAAAGTAAGACTCTTAATGAACATTTTGTTAAATTTTGAAGCATTTCAGTGAACTCTAGCAATTTTACCATTGAGTATCTCTCGAATAAAAATTATGTAAAAATATCGCAAAATTAAAATGTCTATAAATAGCTCAAAAATGGTTTAAATTTTTGAAAATTTACCATGTTTATAAAAAGTAACTATAAAAATAAAATTATTTATAAATTTGGAAAACTTTGAAAAATAAAGAATGACCTCTTAAAAGCACCATCTGCACAACATTTCCTTTCAGGAATGGTGCCACGCGTATATATCTGAGTAAGATTTTTGGTAGAATTTTTATACGCAATAAAAAAAAAAAAATAATAAAAAAAAAATAAACATCTTAGTAAAACCAATAAATTTTTCGCTTTATTCACGGTCTAAAATACGGTTTAAAAGTCTTTATTAGAAGAGTTTTTTTTATGTCCGTTGTGGTATTTACAAAGTACACTCATAATAAATGGGCTGTATGGTGGCTATATTAATAAACTACTTTTTTAATGTTTATTACATGGTGTAATGACAAGAGGAAGATCAGTACATCCGTTTATTTATTTAGGACTATTGAGGGCCTCGTATGATGGTTTTATTAAAAATACAATATTATATTTTCATTTCTATCGAAATACCTTCTTCAGTTTCACCGTTGTAGATTTAATATAATATTTTATAAATTAAATTTCGTTACTACTTTAAACTGTAAACGTAATACATATTTTCACCGTAAAACGAAACGAAAATAATGCAAATATAGTAGGTAAGAATAATATTGTATAATATTTTTGGGTTTTCGCATTTCCGGATCAAGAATTTAATTAAATTTTATAATTTATGGATACGTTATATAATATTATTATACTTACAGGGCTGTATACTACTGTGTTTGGTAAACTATAATAATGAAATACTAACCTACTTGTATTATTTGTTTTATCCATTTGTTAAAAAATCCCAATGTCGATTCCAATATCTGTCAATAATATGTGGAATTGTAAAATTTGAGCAGTTCAAAGTCAAAAAAGTATTCACAATATTGACCGTTCTCAATCATATTTCTATCAGCTATACATACTATTTTTTACAAATATATTTATCAGATCATGGGTACTGGGTCGAAAAGACGATTTCAAATATTATTTTATTGCAAATTTATGAAAATCTTTTCCTCGTGATATTTAAACTGATGGTAGTTAACTACTTACTCACTAAGTGGTACCTATATTAACAGTCATTTAGCGTCCTGTTGCATTACGCCGTTGAGATTACGGTAATTATTGTTACGGGTTTTATGTTTACAACAAAACATAATTTAATAATATACGCTCAATTTTGAGACAATAAAATTGTCTATACCTACCTACCTGATGTTGATGATATGTGTAGACATTATGGTTATTTGGGCGTGTGCGCCAATATGATGTTACTTCCAGCACAGTGTTCACAACTCATCCCTATTTGTCTACATGTATGACACGAAAAAAAATATGATTTGTGTAAGAGATTTCTAATTAAAAGGTTGTTTATAGACACACAAAAAGAACAGAGTATAAAATATGAATGACACGTGAATAGGGTCACGGCAAAATTTAACATAAATTACTTTTTTTATACTTTTGAACTAAACTGAAGGTTAAGAAACAAAAATTAAAAAATAATGGCGTCGTCCAAAAGGCTTTCTGTAAGTAATTTCCACAGATGTTTTCCCTATTGTTTAGTAGGTGTTCTTAAAGAGTCCATCGTTTAGAACCGCACTATTTATCGAAAGTTTAAGACTAATCGTTATATTTAGCTTTATTTATTTAACTCGGTGATTCCCTTCCATATCATAAAATGTATGTAGTTATAAGTTATAATAATTTAAAATGATAAACATAACACAATTATGGTATTGATAATGTAGTTAACATTTTGCGGAAAATATGTGTAGTTACGATAAAAACCAAAAAATAAGGACACCCTCCCCTTTTTTTAATAATTAATAATACCTTTTCGCGACGGGATTCTACATTCTAAATTATTTGATTAATGCTTATAAGACATGTATCTATATACCATCCGCATGTATTACCACAACAGAGCATAATGGATTTTCAAGTGTCTAAGAGCAAGAACCATCCAAGTTAATAAAAAAAATATTTTATTTATTATGGTAAATGTACATACTAATATATATTCACAATTTCTAACTTATCAACGTTACTAAAAATCGTCAAATTTGTTTTAAATTTGTGTATGATTTTTACATTAAATCTGATTGATGTTGAAATCAATAAATTCAGATTAAAAAACTACACATTTCGAAGAAATTATAGTCTGGCACAATGTTTCGTAACCTTTTTACTGCCACGACTTCCTATATGAATATTTAATTTTTTAACAACCCTTAAATATATATTTTATACGTGGCTACTTCATATTTTATATTTTTGGTGAACTTAAATAATTAGTCGATGACCCCCAGGTTGGGAAAAATTCAAGTCAATTATACTAGACTCTAGCACACTAGAACCATGCCTAAGTCTATGATTAGTGCCAGACCGTAAATAGATATAAGATCCAATCATGCCCTCCACCCAACTCTTTAATCTTTCACTGTAGGTGTAGTATAGCACCTTATAATAATATAAAGTATATATAAGGTATATGTGCAAAAGTTTGAATTTTGTCCGCTCGAGATACGCCACCAGCGCTGGTCCCGCGACGAGTGCGCCCTCGTCAACCCCCAATGATGACAGCGCGAGTAGTTTCATCCTTGTACATCATCTGTATCCCGCTGAATGTCTGTACAGGTATAGCAAATCAGTGTACCTGAAATGCCGACCAAACCGGATATGGAAGAAAAATCTCATCCAGGTCAGTGTTTTATGTAAACGTTTTTTTTTATAATTACATTTTAAACATTGTGTAGAGCCAGTTAATATTAAGATAAAAATAATTAAGTCGAATCATACATAAAAATTAATTAAAATCGTTGAAAATCTAAAAAAAAAAACTATCTTGATTCATATGCAATACTCTATCTTATACTTCAATTGATTTTTATTCGATTCAATTATTACAAAAAAAAAAAAAACATATTTTGCGCAATAGTTAAGTCACTGTTATACGTGAGAAGTGCTTTGTGGTAAAAAAAAAAAAATGTTGAGCAAATGCTAACTGGCTTATCATTTTTAAATATTCATCTAAATGAAAACATTAATATAGAGAATATTATTGAAAAACCGCTTGCAAAACGCTGCTTAAAATAAAAATATTTTGGACTGAGTCATCTAACTTTTATACATTATTATTATTTGTATTATTATTATTATCATTATTTTAATTATTATTTATTTAATGTAAAAAAAATTAATTTAACTTTTAAATTGTACTGTTTTACTGCATTTATACAATACATCTACAGTTTTCTAAGTTAATATAAGTTCAAATGACATCATACTTAAAGGTTGTAAGTTTTTGTTGACCAAAATGCTGGTATTAATGGTAAATATTGTTCGTCCCCTCATGGAATTGACACGAAGACGCTCCTGAGCAATGCTATTAAACGCGCTCCTCTTAGAATTGTTTTTGTTGACAATGCTTAGATTTGCTTAAGTGCAGATGTGCGTTAATTTTTTCTCAATATCTTACCTTCCCAACTTCTCATCTATAACATTGGTACATCCATCATGCGAAATTGTACCCTGTATAAAAAAAATTTTAAATTAAAAAATAAATATCATTTTTAGGTGTTAAATTTATCATATTTTTGGTTTTTGTAAGTTTTACATCGTTGAATAATTTACATAGTACAACAGTAAAACTAAAAATAACTTTCAATGATAATTAATACATTATTATTCGTTGCTATTTCTCCATCCGAAAACTACATTTTCACACTACAGATGTCGTTTTTCACTCGATCCATACTTATATAATTCTTGAATTATTATGATTGAAATTCTTTATTTTTTTTATTTAAAATTAACTTAGTAAACCAAGCTGTAATAATATAGTAAATTATATCTGCATGATATGAAAAATAATGCATTTTATTTATCTGTAATTATATCCGTTAAAGCATTATTTAATATAAAAAATCATTATTATATTATTGTAGTGGACTTTTATTGATCCAAGAGTTAAGACGGAAAAAATAGCAACTCCTGTTCACCTCTAATAGTGTAATTCTGCTGTCGGTACGTTATTTGCCGTTTTGTAAAATATACCTACGCTTAGGCGGTAAAAATATAGTGATTGGTGACTTTGTATTTCGTAGGTTTATAGAGTTTAAACACGAAGTCCCGGAAGTCACATTGATTTGTATTATTTTCACCGACCTTTCTTTATTTTATTTATACAATTAGTTTCCATATATTTTTATAAAAAACAAAGAAATTTAATAAGCTTTTAATTTTGCCTATCTGCCCGTCTTGAAAATTTCGGGATTGGGAAATTGGGTCCCGAGAAAAAAAACAGGTAGTAGGTAAATTGGGTCCTTGTAAAAAATAAATTGTATATTGTTTATACGAGTCAAATTTTATTATTGTGGTATTAATTGCATAAATTGTGTGAATAATATTATAAATAAACTAATAAATCTTAAGGTAAAAATGTAAAAGAAAATTCAATTTCTATTATTATAATTCAATTAAATTAGGTATGTATGTTTATTATAATATTGTGTTCTCGGTTCGTAAAATAAATGCATTTTGTTAAATTTATTTAATAAAGAATTGTTTCTGCTTTCCGGTATTTATACCTATAAGCGTGCGGAAGTCTTCTTGGCGGGGGAAACAATGATTTTGAAAATTAAAGCTTACACAAAAATCTTTAGCAAAAAATATGCTAATATTTTAGAGGTAGCTTAGCGTTAAGCCCCAATAGTATTGATTATGTATACTTAGTATTTACTTGATGGGAAATTTATTTAGGGAGTTTGGTTGAGTACTCGGAAAGGGCGTCTATATCCTTTAAAGCCCCTTTCCTTTTTGTACAAATGCATTAAATTAAGGGTAGCTTAGAGTTTAATATTTAAAAAAAAAAAATGTATATCCAACATATTTTTTTAAAATATATTTTGGTAGAAAATCTCTCAGGGTAGGCTGTTGCATCTCCTGCCTCCCCCGTGCGCACTCTTGTGCTTATATCTCCTTTCCTGGTCTATTTTCGAATAATTGTCAATATTTAAAAAATAATTGGAATTGATTTTTATTCGATTAATTATGAAAAATGTATTCAAATATGTCTACTTAAATATCGCTACCCATACAGTGTACGTTATAGATTAGGTTAGGTACTTTTATCTAATATATATATTTATAAATGGCATAAGTACTAACAATTGGATAAAAAAAATTGAAGAAATTGTTAAGATTGGCAATTTTGACCATTTCTCCAGCCCCTACAGTGAAAAAAAATACTATCAATTGGGCCAAGAAAAATGTCATATTTTAAAATTGGGAGATCCGTGGAAATGTACATGATTGTAATGTATTTATACATTTTAATTAAATATTCAGTAGTAATTATAATATGAAAGAATGTACATGCCAAAATTACAGAATTTAAATCCAAATAGATTGATACGTAATACTATGTACATGCAAAGTGACAACGGAAAGCTAAAAACAGAATACAGTGATTAAAGTTAAACAAAATTTCACTGTAACTTCAGTGTTTGAGAACTGAGTACTATAATAAACATATAGGAGCTTCTATTTAGGTGTATTGGTAGCAGCTGTGAGTCAAACAGAAACATAATTTTTAAATTCCAAGATAAACACTTATGATGGTGGTCAGTAGATAATTTCGCCGCGTGACTCTGCTTATGAATAAATTAGATTGGGAATACAATAATAATTTATTATGATTTAAACTAGATTTAATTGAAAAATAAATTTTTTTATTTTTTATTTTTTTTATTAATGTTGAAAATTCATGTCAATAGCCAATAACAATATTTTTCATCGGTTCATTTTCGTCAATATAAGACCCACTGGGTAAGTCCGGATGTTCTGGTGGGTCAGTCTGCCCCTGCTCTTACGCAGTCTTATGTTTTAAATTCTAAATGGAGCCAAGAATATATAGGTTGTACTATTATGAATATTTTTTTTATCTGTGATCCAATTTTCTACGAAAAATCTTCCCCCTATAAAAACATGATAATTGACCTTATTTTTATTACAATTTGTGCGTTACTGTTGTAGATGGGAAGTGGAAAAGGTAGGATACATAGATTTACTTAATTTACATCTATAAGCAACAATAAACCATTATTAACGAAAAATGATCCTCAGCGAAGTCCATTTATAGATATTTCGAAATGCCGCAATGTTTATAACTTTTATGAAAATTGGATCTTAAAATGATTATAAAAAAAAAAAAACTAGTAAAATACTAAAAAAAATACAAACAATAAATACCTAAATAACCGCAAAAATAAAATGAACATTTTACCCCGTTTAGAAAGTCCAATTATTATTGTTTTCTTTAATAATTGTCTTTCAAAATTTTTGGTATCTAAGAATATTTTTAACTGAATTACAACAAATAAACAAAATCGAAAATGTATGCTAAAATGACTTTCTTACTAACCAAATAGATTAAAAATGCAACCAAAAAATATCTTTTGTTTTTTTTCGATTATACCTATATTTCTGGTAGAAAACATAATGCTTACAAATTAAAACCAATGAAATCACTAAAGTTGTAGTACCCTTAAAAAATCAAAAAGTTACCTGTTAAATGAACAAACCAGATCTAAAATACATCAAAATAGAACTTTTCTCATTTTTCAATTAGAGCGAGACATTTGATCGAAAAGTTGTTTAGACAAAAAAAAAAAAACGAAGACGGAAATAAAATCATATTAAAACTAATACGTTCCTCGCTACGCTTAAAATCTAAAATTTACTGTAAAGAAATAATATGTTTTTCTTTTTTCTTTTTTAAATCTTATTAGTTTTATTTAACTAAGTAACTAATTTGGTATTTTCACCGACTAAATTTTAATCTAACTAAATAACCATATTTAATTATAATTGTAAGTTATTTAAATTACGAATAACTACTCGTCATTTTTATTAGGACTGTGAATTTAATGCAGTAAAGAAACCTTAAAAAAAGAAATTTAAAATCTCAAAAATGCACTTAAATTGTTTTTTTAAATACTCAGAAAATCACTTTTTTAAAAAATTGAAGAAATTATCGTTTTATTTATAATTTTTTCAAGTTCGACACTTATAATATGCTTGTCTTCCAATGTGCTATTTTACAATACATTATTTTTCAGCTGAAACTTCTATGCCACATATTTTGCAGCATAATATTTTATTATTAGTAGAAAAAATATCTGCTCTATATTCATTGATGTACTTTCACAAATTTGACGATAAAGTAGGTTTTTATTTGGGTTTTTTACTATACGTACTTTTACTTTTACTGTATACACTTGCAAATGCCGAACAGGTATAAAACGACATTGCTTCTATTGTCTAATAGCTTACAACCACCTATTAAGATTATAGATTAATATTACAGATATTATAGATTAATCTATTTATTTTAGAAATTCACTATACTGATATGCCATAATTAGATAAATTCAACCCTAAGACACTTATCGTATCGTGAAAAATCCTACGTTGTACTTGCATGTATTATACAGCGTGGATATTATTAATTGTAAAACATAAATATGACGTATATACAGCCAGTGTAAAATAAAAAATAAGTGTGTAAAGGTGATAACTAATGGAATTATATAAAACTAATGCAAAATGCACTTAAAGTGAAAAAAATACTACAAATTTACAGCCCTAACATTACACAGGTAATGGTATAACAATTTACCCATAAATTAATAAAGTCTTCATCTAACTATTTGTGTTTAGTGGTAAATATTTTATTTCATTTTTTCTAACTATGATAAAACCTAATATATTGTAAACAATTTAGTGTAAATAATATAAAATAATTAATAGATAATATTTACTAAGAATTTTTGCAGGTGAGTGGACGCCGATGCTTAATTAAACTGTTCTTTGTATATAAGTATATATTAATGAACTCCGAGTTTCAATGTTCATACAATTTATTTTAATATCGTGTTGATTATAGAAAACTTAAAGAAAAAAATAATAAAATGGAATTATCAATTTATATATTGTTCAATACTTATAATTAATACCTTCTCTTAGTTTTACTGACCTTAAAATGTTCACACAATTAACAAAAAAAATAACAAAAAACATTCGTATTATACGTGCATGCTTTACATTTATTTTATATAATTTTTATATTAAACAGGTGTACAGGTATTACGTTTAAAATTAACGGACATGCATCACATCAGGGGTATGCCCGTGAGGAAATTATGGTGTTATATGTTCCTTGGTCTATTTTATTAATATACATATATTGTTTGGTGGTAATATTCAATACAAAACCGTCGTAGAAAAATATTGTATTTTTTTGATAATTTTATGATGTAATATATCTAATCGTTGTTGTTGAATCTAAAAAAGCTATCTTAGGATAATAAGGACTGGTGCCGTCACTTTTATAGGTAATTTAATCTATACCTGTAAGCAACGATAAATCATTGCTAACGAAAAAAGCAAATATGCAAATATGAAGTTGCCCAAGTTGCCTTATCAAAAATTTATATGTCATATTATGGTAAAATATTTATATAGCTAATATATATTTTCTTTAAAAGTATTTGTTGAACATTGTACTTATTTTTCAGTTTTTCCTAAGGTTTTCCCGTAGTTTTTTCCGAATTTCCCATTCATTGAAAAAACTACTGAGAAAATCGAAAAATGACCTCCTAAAAGAACCTTCCCATACCGAGTTTCTTTTAGAAAAGGTACTACACTTAAAAATGGAGAGCAAGATTTCTGGCATAAAAAGTTGTACACAGAAAAAAAATCGTTTTAAAACCGCTTTAAAAAAAGCTTATGAGCTTCATCTCTTCACTCAGAATCTAAAATAGTTAATGCAAACTATATTATGTTAATCTTAATAGTAATTTGTAAACCTATGACTTGTGCTTATGCTAAAATTTATGTAAATCGTAGGTAAATATTTTTGATTATTTTTTAACAATAATTAGAATGTTCAAATCAGTAGAAACAAATTTAGAGGGACTCTGGTATTTTTTATTATAAATTTATTGTTTTTACAATAATGTTTATTTATTATTTTAAATTCTGATTGAAGCAGAGTAATATAAAAACATAGGCTTTTTTACAAAATGTTTTTTTAATCTACGCGCAAATTTTTTTAAAAGGAAATCTGACTGGGGAGGTACATTAGGAAGGTCATTTTTAAATTTTCCCAGGATTTTCATTAACTAATCGGAAAAAACGGGAAAAAATACGAAAAATTAGATATTACTTGACAAATATAACGGCCTTTTTATTCCTGTGATCAATTTTTCTATTAGCAATTTTGCTCCGATTTACAATAATAGCACTTTTTCTGAAAGAAAATATCTTACTGAGAAGATACTTTATGGAGATAATTTATTGAATTTCCTAGGAGTTTACTCAACAAATGGGAAAAGTGTAGGAAAAATCGGTACATTAAACAAATATTATTAAAGAAAATATATAATACCTATTTAATTATTTTACTATAATTTCGCATATTATATATTGTTGATAAAGAATCATTATCATTCGGTTTTCTAAGGGGTTTTCATAATAAGTGGGAAAAACCAGGAAAAACAGTGGTAAACGGATAAATATTTAGGGCGTAACGATTTCACAATTTTACAATTATGTAACTTATGTTTTCTACTATTAATTTTCTTTAATCAAAAAATTACGAAACATTTTATTTTGTTGAATTTCGGATCTAGTTGCTCACAAAAAAAAATGTCGGTTTTTTGATTTTCCAAATATTTTTCATAATAATTGGGCAAAACCGAAAAAAATGTTTTATTATTTTATTTTCATTCATTTAAAGGTATTTGTAGAAAATTGAAATTTGAACAGAAACTTATATTTGTTATGGTTAATATAAGCCATGTAATATATATATAAATTTTTTAATAAATATTTTAATATCAAATTTTGAGGAAAATCGTAAATATTACGGTCTTTTAACCGAACTCCACTCAGAATCGTTTTTCGTAAGTAAAGATTAATCGTTACGTACATATACATATATTAAATTCCTTTTATATCCTACCTTCTCAACTTCTCACCTACAACAGTCGTCCACTCATCATGCAAAGTATATTTTTATATTTTTTTACCTCCACATAGGAGGTAAAGTGAATTTTGTGATCTCTTGCGCTCCTCGCACATAAAATGATATTTTTTAATTAATTATTATGTGCACCTGTTGAACACGTGATGACGTGAAGTTTATATACTAAATTAGGTACTGGCTTATCTTAAACAATATGCTATACCTGAATAAATTATTATTAAAAGTGGATTAGTGCTGCATACAATGTTAGCTAAATTTAATTTGAGTTATCGTAAATGATCGGTTATTGTTCAGTGACCTGCCAAACGATATTTGTATTCACCTTATAAATATGGACTTTTTTCATTCCTACGTGTTAGTCTTACAGACGAACAACCGATTGACGGATGAAAAAAGGTGAATAACTTAACTGTGATTCTATTTGTCGTCATTTGAATTTTGTTTCTTAATTTATACTATTAAAAAAAAAAAAAATACGTCTAGTATCATTTTTTACTTTTATTTAAGTTTTTCATTTTAAAGGCAATTGTTTAAAATCACTTGTTTTGCGTTTAAGACTAAGTATTTCTAATAAGTTTTAGTTTTCATTGACCACACCGCGCAGCACTTTTTGGTCACCTTTAACCTGTAATAGATATTTAAGACATAAAATAATCACGTATGTTATCCGTTATTATAAAGTATAAGATTTTTTTAACAAATAATTATTTGGTATGTTATTATTATTAATATTATTTTTTTAATTTTTTTTTTTTTTAGATACTAAGATAGATATGGAAATGGCACCGTCAGTAATCGATATTGAATCCAACTGTAAAGATACTAGAGAACGTTCGACAACGTAAGTATATCTTGATCAATCTGTCATAAGACATTCATTATCTCGGAAAATATTAACTTTTTTCGACATTTATTATGTAAGAAATTTTAGAAACAAACAGCTCTTAAATTTTACATTTATGTTTTTATTTTTTGTCACCCTAATTTTTGGAGTGAAACGACTACTTACTTTTGATATTCAAATGGCAACCTATATTAAAAATTCGATAAATAGAAGGAGTAGTAGTTAAAATAAATGTTGGTGTTTAAATTTTTAATTCCATCAATCCGTTGACAAGATAATACATTTTTAATTTTGGATAGGAGAAGAGTATAGTGGTACATTCTTAAATGTTAAATTTTTGAACAGCTTGTTTATAAAATGTTCTTTAAAACAAATTTCGAAAAAAGTTGACAATTTCCCAGATAATGAGTGTCTTACGATAGATTGATCACCTCGTATATTTTATTTGAAAACCAATCAGCTTTGGGGGGGTATATAGATGTTTTTGGTATACGTGTACGGTGTACCACAAACAATGAGTACCAAATAATTACCTGCTTTGTAATATCGAATCACAAGATTTATTTTTTGTATCATTATCTTATATAGCTTTTCACAATCCATTTTTCACTTGGTCAAGGCTAGTTTGGGTACTGGAATTTTGGCTATGCCCTCCGCGTTTAAAAACGCGGGGTACATGGTAGGTATTCTCGGAACTATAGTGATAGGTGCGATATGCACCTACACAATACATATACTGGTAAGTGAAAGACACATCGCATATTCCTTATAATATTTTATCGTTTAATTATGTTACACATGGTTACTCCTATATTTGACCTTTCCGTTTTATATAGACCAATTCGTCAACCGAACTCAGCAAGACCGAACAAAATGACAAGGGGTTGAACTATGCAGAAACCGTAGAAGCGGCCTTCAGAAAAGGTCCAATTTTTTTCAGGAAATATGCAAAACTGGCCAGGTAACAATACCGTGTAACGATCTTGTGATTTGGCGTAAATATAAAAATAAAATATTAAAATTTACGGTGTATGATAACGGTGGTAAACCGTTTGCTCGTGTTTTTTTTTTTTTTTTTATAGATTCGTAACCGATACACTTATAGTGTTGTATCAACTCGGGAGTAATTGTATTTACATCGTTTTTATATCTGAGAACATTAAAGCGGTAAGCAAATTTATTTTATACAATATAACGGTTATTATCAATAGATAAGCGGATATGCGGTACTATTATATTGTCAATATCCGGTTCGTTTTCAGGTAGTTGATGTCTATACTGATGGAAATACGGATGTCCGGATGTGCATGTTTGCTATATTAATCCCACTGTGGTCGACGATTTGGCTAAAGGACTTTAAGGTTCTTTCACCCTTTTCAACCATCGTTACGTATCTAACAATGGCAAGCTTCACCATAATCTTCTATTACATTTTCCGGGATATGCCTTCGTTAGAGCACCGAAACAAAGTCGGCACGGCATCAAACATACCTCTAGCATTAGGCACCGTATTGTTCGCGATGGAAGCCATAGGAGCGGTAAGCAGTGTTGTGTTTTATGTATATCTAGTCTAGATAGGTATTTTTGTATTTTTTTATTAGTTTTATCCTATCTAGATGAAAAACAATTTTTTCTTACCTTAAGGTATCAGAGATTAATAATAATTGAATTATTTTGCTCGAAATATTTACCAAACTCGATAGACATCGTATTACTTTTAGTTTTATAATATTATATAAGCAAAGGATTTAACTATTATTTTTTATTCGTTTTCTTAAAAAATGTGTTGACTATTTATTTTTATCTAGATAATTAAATTTTTATTTATCTTTTATCTTCATCTAGATGATTATTCTACCAATTACCCCTTATAATTACAGAGATATTTTAAAAAATATCTTTATGCACCTTTATAACGCTGGTGGTAATAAGTACAGAAATCACAGTGACAATAGTAACTATAATAATGCTCCATATTTTTTTCGAAAATTAATTTTAATTATCATTTTATAAGATTATTTCGATCAATTATTCTGCAGATAACACCAGCTGTTATATAGTTTAATCAGATACATCATATGGATATTCCGTTTATTTATTATTTATTTTTCATATGGCAATCTGCTTATAATTCTAAGAATATAAGAATATAATCTATCAACCGTTTCAGTTGGTTGTCTTCATTTTTTTTTTTTTTAAATTTTCCTCGATTTTTACACGGTATTATGGCTGATATATATATATTTATATCTATAAATGGGTTCAAACTTTCAAAGTTTAAATTAGGGAGATTAGAGTTTTATTATAGACGGATAGAAGTGATAAAAGTTTCGCTGAATTTCAATATGAATTTCAGCGTGTTTTTGAGTGAAGCATATTTATTTTAAATTTGAATAATAAAAAAGACCATCTTCTCCAATGAATATAAGGACATGACATTTTATGTATATGTTACGTTTAGTATCAGGATTTTTTAAGGATTTCAAATTGCAATCTCCTCCATTTTTTTTTTTTTTTTTTTGACAGACATTTTTTTTATTATTATTATTTTTTTTGTCCGTTAGCAGCTTTCCAAACGGAAAACTTGCTCCGATTTATCGTGTAATTAAGTGTTAGTGAAGTACCTAATCTGAGAGGAAATTATATCTAGTTTATGCATTGGGGAGGATCATCTAACTAGATCTAAAATACCCCTATTGATATGATCATTTATTGATTTTCAAAAGGGGTTTGCATAATAATTAGGAATAACTGGAAACAGACAAAAAATGACAACTGACAAATTCATAATGGTTTCATTATTTTAAATTTGTACACTGTATTTCATATCAGAACTATTTCTCCAATCGAAAAATGGCAGGACATTATTGCATTTTTAATCTTTTTAGTGAGTAATAAAGTTATTTTTTGATTTTCTTTATAATTTTTTCACTAATTGAACAAACCAAAAAACGTTGAAAGAATGAGAAAGCTTCAGGAAATAATGGTTTTATTACTTTAAATTTTGCTTTTTTGTTGTAATTCGGTTAAAAATATTCGTTATCCTAAAATTTTTTTTTGTTAAAAAATCAATTTTTCAAACCTCAATTGTACTTATATTTTAACAGCTTTTTACTATACTAATTAAATTTTATAAAATGTATACTCTGTTTTTGATACATATATATATTTAAAAATTTATACCCACTGAAAATGTCGAAAATCTTTTAATATTTCCAAGATATTGTAAATAGTGTGATTTTCATTTGTCACCATGTTAAATTTTTTGTTACACGTTACATATTATATTATTGTTATGTGTTTTATTTGACATATGTTAGATCTTGCCACTTCTGAACGATATGAAATACCCAGAAAGGTTTAGCAGCAAATTCGGAGTCATCAACGTTTCTCTAATACCAATCGCTGGTCTCTACGCGTTTATTGGTTTTTTCGGATATTTGAGATATGGTGAAGAGACAAAAGGATCAATCACATTGGATTTACCATCAGAAGAAATGTAAGTACATACTAATAAAAACATCATGTCCATCGAAAAATTGTACACTTATACAATTTGTATTTATATAGACCTGCTCAAATCACCAAATTGATATTGTCATTGTCTATATTTATCTGCTATGCTCTTTCTAATCTAATAAGTTATGACATTTTCGAAAAATTTTTCGACCGTACGTGTCCAAGAAACAAGAATGTTGGAATGCATATACTCCGAACGTCAACAGTCCTAATCACGTGTGAGTATTATCCAGTATTATATCTAAAACTCTGATGAAAAAAAGGTTCAGTAAAAAATTTTAATATTTATTTTTATTATTCCAATACTGTATGAACAAAATTATTTAATCATCTACCTTGGTATCTTATCTTAAACGCAATAATTATACAATTTCTACAAATATCTTAAAATGTAGGTACATAAAACATTACACTTATATTTATTTTTCACACTACATTTCCATCGTAAACTATTATTTAATTTATGTTAAATTTGCTTTTGTTTTTAATTTTAAAATTTCGCTCATATTTTCGACAGAAAAAAATATTGGCTAAGTTTAATACAACAAAATATTTCAACACATTTGCCTAAACATAGACTGATGTTAAAGGGAAATTGTTTTAATTAAAGTAAAGTATACTAAGTATAGTATAATATTATTATTTTCCAGTAGGCATAAAGTTATAATATAATTTAATATTAATATTTATAATTATATGTATATAATTAAATTCGTATTAAATTCGGGTATTCCTGGTTTTTTATTCTTGATGTTTTATTCCATAGTATTTCTTTGAGAGAATTTTTTCGCCGGACTTTTGTTCGGGAATTTACATTACCTATAGACTTTAGACTTTAAATGGAAATATAGTTATAAACCAAATAGGTACCTTAAGAACGACCCAAATAAAATAAAACCCTGCAACGTCGTGTCGTCCAATCACATCCATCGTATAATATACCATTTTGATTTTGATTTATAGTTATCCTTGCTGGAATTTTCGCAAACTTGGAAGATATGATAGCTTTGATTGGAACACTGTGCCTCTCGACGGTCGGAGTCGCTTTGCCGGCGATTATAAATCAGTTGACCTTCTATGAACATTATCGTAAACAAGGCAAATGGCGATATGTCATATTTTGTCTCAGTAACTTGGCGATTGTCTTGGTTGCCATTTTTGCGTTAGTAGTCGGCATGTATAAAAGTGTGACGAACATCATGAATACCATGGAAAAATAATAATAATCTTATGCGACAAAATTTTAAGTGCCTATTATATAGGTACATAATATTAATGACTTCCTTACAAATTGTTTATATTATAAATGTTTAACTGTAGTTTAACTTTACTTGTCAATTCCTAACTAAAATATTTGTATGTATTCGTCGACAGCAGTGAATAAATTGTAGGAGAAAGAAATGCAAAAAACGAATTTTTTTTTTTTTTAAAAAAAAAATTTGAATGCATCAGTAGTCAATATCACTTCTAATTTTGCATAATGTGAGTTACAAACAAAATATTATATAACTTTTATCTTCGTGTATTTTAAGGTTTTCAATTGTAATCGTAGGTATGCATAATTTATTATATCTTACTACCTGCCTATATTATTTAATATATTTCTTTCAAGCTCATTATGTTTCGCGTGTAATGAGCATACCTATTTTTCTTGTATTTGTATTGTAATCTTTATAACTTTTTTATTTAAATATAAGTAGATACATGAACGTAATATGTCACTTACATTAGCTATAGAATTATACTATGTAAATAAATATATGGAGCAATCATACTATAGATCAGTGGCCTGAAGATTATGTAGAAAATTTATTTACTTTTTATGACACACATAGCAATTGTTTATATATTTACCACCCTTCTTACAAATAAATCTGTGATGAATGTTATTCATTTTTACAATTCAAACTCACTGTCACTTACTACAGTTTAATACATTTCTAACCACCTAGGATCCACGGTCAACTCATCAATTTTAAACACAAGCTTCAAAAAATAGTTTTCACCATGCCTTGGGTGTTAAAATATCGCCATCTATAAAATAGACATATATAAATATTACATATCAAGTATATCAAGCGTATATCAAGTAGATACCTATGACTAAGTACAAGTATGACGTAATGGGATCTTTTCAGAAATTAATAATTAATTTTACAAGCGTTCTTATTATGTAACTGCTTTTGTTATGTTTAATGCTTTATCTGTAGAGGATACAATATACTATTCAAATAATAACATATTTATTCGAATTTTGGGTAATACGTACCTATATTATTTCTAAGTTTTTACGTTAACATTATAAGACGTGCATTATGTTATTATTTTTTTCTTCTTTTTGTGCAAATACAAATTTGAATCCTAATTTGAAATTTTACTTTATGATCAAAGACATTCGCAATTTTAAGTTGCTACTTTCGGACGAATGACGACGACAATCATTTTATTTTAATTTTAGATTCTGCAGACCAAGCCGATAAAGTTTCTACAACAATGTATGCTTTTTCAATTAACTTACACAATACCTGTTCGTTTTACAATGGCCAAAAATGCAATAATAAAAAGGTGGCAGTCGACCACCATAATATCTTTTGTTCCAGCATTGACGTACCTATAATTTAAGTACTGTAGGTCAGCCAAGCTCACGGACCTGTATAGAAAACCATTTATTAAGTTCAAAATCACTTGCTTTGCTTACGATTCAGTTAATTTATTTCATATTTTGATAACAGATACCAACATAACTAATTTATATAAAATATTATAAAAATAAATTTTAAAAACTTACATAAAAACAGCTAATTTTAGGAATTTGTACTTATTTCATTTTAATAAATTTTCAGTCAATTGACGGATAACTCACATTTAAGCAATCTCATAAGTCAGTTTTAGTTAAATTTATAAATGCTACTTGATAATTAATATTAGACAAAATTAAAATTTTGTCTTGTTCTCACCCTTGCTCTGTATTAATTTTTTAAAAATAAACAATTAATAGAAGGTACATAAAGAGTATAATCCTATGCAAAAATACAAAATAATAATATTATTCACTTCCACACTTTATATTTTAGTTACTTTTATAATTTATTTTAAAAGAAATTAGTACTTATGGATAGGTGTAGTAAAAAATAAAAATAATAATATTATAATAATAATTATCTTCTCTTTTTAAATTTAATTTGAAACACTGTTTATACGCCAATGATAATGTACGAACAGGGACAAATGGACGCGGACGTTTAAACACGAGTACATTTGGACGCAAAAAGTAATAATAACAATAAAAAAAAGACTTCGCACGATGGATGGTCCACTGTTGTGGTGAGAAGTTGGGAAACTAGGACATAGAGTTGAATTTAATGTTCATTTGGATGCAACGGTTAACTAAAAAAGATTCTGACCGGAGTCAAATTATACATATATTGAAAAACCGTAATATTATTACGATTTTCGTCAAAATTTGATACTAAAATTCTTATAAAAAAATTCTCCTTTACAATTTTTTTTTTTGGAACACAAAGTATGACTTATAATGGATCTCCTATTAAATTTTCAAGCATTTCTGTTTGGTCTAACAATTTTATTCATAGAGTACCTACCGAATAAAAATTATATAAAAAACTCTCAAAAATAGCTAAAATAGTTTAAAAATTTTACCATATCCAGAAAAGACATAAAAGTTTTCTGTCTAAATTTCAATAACGAATAATTTTAACTGAATGATAACAAAAAAAAAAAAAAAAAAAAAATTAAAA